CGGCTGTCTGGCACGCGATTCCTCGGCTTCCTCTACGTCCCCATTTTACTTTTGTCCCGGCGATGCACAGCTGATCCTTGCTTTCCGTGTCTGAACCGGATAGCATCTTCTCCCTCGAGGGAAAAAGCCGACCGTGCCGCGGAAAGTCAATGAGACAGCTGTGTTGTCCGTAGTAGTTGTGGCCAACTTTTTCAATCGACGGTAAGGAAGCTTCGCCAATGAGAATCGATTAAAAATCAGATTTGCTCGATCGTATATTTCCAGCCTCTGGCATCGCCAAATTCAATTCGGACGACAAAGACGCTACTTTGGATGACGAGCAGTTTCTTTCCTTCGGAAGCTTTTGATCAGTCTTTAACACCCAGTAAGATACACTCGGCGATAAGAAGAAAGTTTTACGAAGATAGCTGACGTATTAATTAACCGGCGCGTATTAATCTTCGTCGAGTAATCGAAACAAGTAACGAACGTCGCGTCGTGCCCTCGTCATCGTGGTACACCGTGGCACCGTAGCTCGGAAACTTTTAATATTTCACAGTGTCACTTCTTTCTCTTTTTCTTTTTCGTTGCTTGTTAAGAAAAAAGAAAGAAGAAGGAAACGCGAGCACACAAGGTGGACGATGACGTTGGAGCATCGATGGATTAACGACGAGATCGAAGTCGTCGTAACATCGGCAGAGCGTAACGCCCCGAGAGGGGAAAGAGAAAATTAACGACTTCTCTTTTTCTTCGGTCGTCAATTTTATTGCGACCTTCTCGCCTCCGCTCGGTAGGCAGATTCATTGGCTAGTTACTAGCTGATTGCACGGAATCTGCTCGAAAGACCAAGATATGCCCGGTATACACAGTAGCGAAGAAGATGACGAGGTGAGAGTGGTCGATAGCTGCACGATGCAGCTCTCTCCGCTACTCCGTTTTCCCTCATCCCCTGTAGCTCGTTTCCTTTCCAGTACTCCTCCGCGAGATTCACTCCAGTTTCCATGCGAACGACGGCCCCCGTGCTTCGCTTTCTTCGCAGTTTAACGCAGCATCTATACGAGTTCGTTGCGATACATGTTCCAATGGAACCGTACGGCTACATTGTCGACAAGCAACAATGACGACGACTTGTTTTTCTTCGCCCGCGTCTCTGTCCTCTTTCAGTCACCCTTTTTCCGCCCCTGTTCCTTCTGATACGGCCAAATGGGCTACATCCTTCGCGCAGACGAGTGTGCGTTAAACAATGAGATCTTCCAATTATGGTAAAACTGGTTAGACGACGGACAGATTTAATCGCTGGGTGTTGAAAGAAATTTTATTCGATAGAAATCTATAGGCGTTTTTCACACGATTGAATAGAAATCGCCAACTTTATAAATTAATCATAAGCAGATAATGATGTGGCGAGCGATGATTTCCTTGGAATAAATAATTTGTTCGTTGAACATTAGGGAGACTCATTTTACAAGTTCCAAGTCACTGGTCGTCAGCATTGACAGATACATCCTTGATACAAATTTGATAATAACGTAAATGGCATTTCGCGAGTAAATTTTGGAAATCACAAGTTATCCGATTACCTTACACGACGAAAAGATTTAAGACCGACGTGTCAAACAGACGTTTATAATCTGCAACTTGTAACTTGTCAATTTCATGATATTATTAGTTGGTAAATTATCGTGCAGAGAATGTCTACGCTAGAAATTACGTTATTGATGAAATCCTGCTACTAGTTCGAGGAGAATGACTGAACAAGAACAAAGATTTTTCCAAGGAAACATTACTGAAATATTTCACGGTAACTTGGTTACACGGACTGATTTCCACTAACAACCGCTCCATTCCTCGAATATTTCATAAAACGATTTTCCAATCTATTACAACGAATTCCAACACAGTTGTGTGTATCGCTTCAGCAGCACGCAATCACGAACTTACATCGACTAACAGGAATTACATGCCTTCGTCTAATCTATTCGATGTGATTAATAATCGAAATATTTCTAAATACCTCGTTTTAATCTCATGCAATCGTACAACTTTGTCTATCTTTGATCGTCGAAGCAAACTCTATATTATATCGAATCACGATAGAGACTTTGGAGACACATAAGATCTCTGGTAAGACTTTGCAAGTTGTAGTTAGACGTTTTCGCTCCGCAATCCTTTGTAATCTTGCGATCTATATCTGAATCGCCTCTAAATATGTTCATCACAGCTAATCTCTCACTAACCGTGGAGAGATAATTTTATCCTACAGAAAGCTAATATGGAATATTTTAAAATAGCAATCGGCAGGAAGCTAGTGAGAGTCAGTATACCGTGAAATTGAAAGTGTTAGGTTGATCAGAAAGTTCGCAGTATCATATTTGATTGGAAGCAGATCGTACATTAATGAATATTTAAACTCCACGTTCAAAAAGGAAACTGAAATTAATACAACGAGAACGATATTACTTGGGATTCAATTCTATTCATCTCGTGCACTGCATTAGTCATTCACAAAGAAAGAGTTCAATGATGAAATTTGAGGGCTAACAAAAATTGCTCGAAGAATAGTCTTTTGGAAAAGTTGGCGGGTACAAGGGGAACTACGAACCATGCATACTTTAAATAAAATATTAATCCTACGAAAATGCATTGCTTTTAAATTCTTGTTAAATTGTACTACGAACTTTTCGAACAACCCAATAGTCGCGACAAATTTCATTTTGGCTCTCCGAACGTTTCCTTTCGTTACATCCTTGATATTTCTTCGATAATAATTAACTCCACCACGCGTGACTCTCGTACCTGAGCTCGACACGCGTGTAAAGAATAAAAAATACCGAAAACGAAGAGTAGCAGCAGCAGCAGCAGCAGCAGCGGCAGGTTTCCGACAGAGGGGTTGTTTCCGATTGCTGTGTTCCTGGCGTGCCGCTAGCGTAATGTTTGTACGTTGCGGGTACAAGTTGGCCAATCAGCGAGTGTTTACAGGCTCTTTCCCAAATTCATTAACGCACACTTTTCGTGTCGAACGCACAGTGAAAACATTCCGCGTTTCGACAGTCTTCCGCTATTCGGCCGCGTCGATATCATCGTCGAGCTCGCGAGGAAGGTGCAAAGCACAGCTACGCTCAGAACGTTGTTTCCGAAAGTTCATTTCCTTCGCTTCTCTCGAGCAACCGAGTTGGAGTTCCTCGTCGATGGGAAAGACAAGGGAAAGTCGTCTCTCGCGAGATGTTCGACCCGATACGATGACGTCCCGCTGCAAAAACGTGGTCGGAATAAGATGGTGAATTATTCCGCTCGCGCGAGAGCAACCGATAGTTGGTGGTAAACAGCCTTTTTCCCTATTTTCCCCCCTCCCTTCTTCTCTTGTTCTCTCTCTCTCT